TTGTAGATGTAAAGATGACAGGCCTTGCTCTGAAGACAGTAAGCATGTTAAAAAAATAAATAAATAAATAGAGCAGTAGAGTTAGGAACTGGAATAACTTGGAATGTCTCAGTCTTGCCAGTGAAGAACACAGAAAAGTAATATATAAATATACCCCATCTCATGAAAAAACAGGAGCTACATCACCAATGACTATATACTTAAACACTTTCTCAACCCTTGTTTTAACCCATTTTGCTAGTCTTCACCTTCTTCCTCTTTCATAACGTACCATTCCTCGAGGCTAAATGAAGGTCCTAGAGCACAATGGACCAAGGAACAGAAAAACTTCCTGATGCCTCTGGCCATCCAGTTAGCAAGTATTACTACCCCTTGTTTGCTTGCTAGCTGTATAGACTGTATAGGTCTTGTTGCATTAATTAGGTTTCTGTCTTTCTTTTTAGAAGCTATGCTGACCACTTCCTAAATTACACACAAAACTAAAAATATAATCTATCACATTGGCAGAAATGTGAATGGTTTCATTTTCTCCTTTTCTCCCTTTACATCCCTAATCATAATCTATGTGGGGAATTACTTAAGTTGATGCTATGACTATGGTAGGACTATTACATGCCTATGTGCTGTTCTTATAAACATGAAATTTATAAGCACAGGAGACAGTAAAACTGATGTCCTTGATTCATTTGTTCAGACCTAGTTATTGAAGCATAAATAGCATGCTATATAACACCATTAAAAGGCCCAGAACTACCTATAATGCACAGGTACTGTGAGACCTGGAAAAACAAGACTAACCACCATTAAAACAGCCAGATCTTCTTGGTCTTATACAGCTCTTACAAATAACACAGGATTTTCCCCTTTTGCAATAGGACAGAACTCCATATGCAAATCCCTCAGGGGAACATGCAAAGTTTGAATATTGTAATTAATAAAACACAACCTTTCATCTTCATTCTTTTCCCCTCCTCAAAAGAGCTTTCTTACAAATATTAATTAATTTTAAGCTATCACAAGTAAAATTATTTGCTGTATTTTAGCTTTTTTTTTTAAGAATATGAAAACAAAATAACAGTATATGAAAAATAATAGGTTAAATGATCCTTCCTGAGTCACTGTGGTGATCATATCATATTTAATTACAATTTAAAATGAAACAAGCATACACTTTAACTGATAGAACATAATAGCTGCTTTGGTGCTGCTGTAGATGTGCATGGTAAGGACTTAAAGAAACATGCGGATTACTGACCTGACAGGACATAGCTATAATCCAAAACAGCCATTATGGTCTCTATTGTAAATTCTTCTTATTTCATGGAGCCTTGACACAACGGATGGCAACAAGATAGAGGTTTATAATAGAAATGCTGATACAACCTTATCTATAGCTGTGCAAATGGTGACGCTATAATTAAACTTTACAATTTGAGCACCACTAGATAAGTTGCTAGTTTTTAATCATATTAATCAGAGCTGGGATGTCTCAATTGTCATATTATCATGCTGCATGCACTAAAAACAATAAGATTCCCAGCCACTAAAGATCATAGCTGTTATGAAACACAAAAGTATATCCTAACACTTCTCTGTAAGTGCAAAAAATACCGAATGAGAACCTCAGTCAATTACCCATTTTTTGGTTTTGTTTTCAAATGCATGGATTTGACATAATGGCCACAGAAAGTACTCTGAATACATTACAAGAATATCACTGAATAGGAAAAAAAAAATAAAAATGCTTCATTAAGTTCTGCTGTGTGCTTCAATTTTTCCTGTCAGCAGTAAAACAAGTCTACTGTCTTCAGTGACAGCAGCAGTCAGAAGCCCGCTCTTTCAGAGGGAGGCACTGAGATTATTCTCCATGTGCTGCTGCTGCGGTAAAAGAAGCTGACTTCCCAGAGCTACCAAAGAGTAGGTGACCAAACCCTCATTGCTTCAGTGGTCTGAGATTTGGAGTCTGGGAAAGTTTTATGTAAATATTTCTCTTCATCTGTCCAAGTGATTTACAGTTTTATTTCAGCAAGGAATGTTTCCTCTTAAAGAAGCTATATTGGCTGCAAAAGGAATGGATATTGCATTGGAGCTGAAACCTATTTTTACTGAGTGGTTGTCACTAACTACAGCAATGAAATTAAACTATAAATAAAGCTTAGTGCTTATCATTCTGTACTACTCTAAATTTGCAAATCCTTGCAGCCAGCATGCCAGTTTACATGTATCCAGTGATATATTCCCACACTGTTTATGCCTACACTTTTGCAGAATGGGTTTTATAACACTTTCTCTGGACAGTATTGCTCTCCTTAAGATAGGTAGCACAGGTATGCAGCATGTGTGCCACAAGAAGTGTGTGTCAGGAATTAAAGGGAAAGAATGTGCCTGTAATCATGTGTGACAGAGCAGAGCATGCCATGGACATTTCTGAAAATTACAAGAGCTGTAGCAATGCACAGGAGTTGCCATAGAGTTATTCTGACCCCTGAAGGATGGAAACAGAGTTAACTGCATAGCCGTTTTTTTTCCAATTTACTCACTATACTCCATGAATGTCAAACTCTAAACTACATTAGCTGGATTTATTAGTGTTTGCCCAGACTTATCCTCAAGAAATATGAAAATATTCATGAACTAACGCTAAAGCAACTTTAAAATACTGATGTTTTCAGGGAAGCAGAAGAAAAAGAAATATTTTTCAGGGCAGTGTTAAAAACACTGAGATAGTGCATTAAATGCGATAAAGAGTAGGTATGAAGAGATCATGTTTATCAAGAGATGTAAAAGCCACTCTGCCCTAGCCTCTTTGAAAGTGTAAAGGTGTTTAGTGAAATTCTGCTAGAATGAATCCAGAGTGAAATGGGGTAGGACATAGGCCAGCGATGATAAGATCACTCATTTCAGCTGCGTTAAGATTTCAGCAGGCTTACACTTTTCAGAAAATATATCCATGGGGCCTCAGCAGTGCTTTTGAGAGCTTATCTGTCTTCAAGGAGTCTTATTTTTTTTCTTTCCTCAGAACAGATGAAAATAGTGATTTATGACTCTAAAGTGGGTGTTAGAATAAAGGCTACCCGGATCCTGCTCTCTTTGCGGACAATTCAGGAAGAAAGTCCACCTGAGTTGAACCTATGAGACTCCTTGCACACCTTTGCCTTCACCTACTTGCTTCTGAGATGCTCGCAACGTCTTAACGGGCTACCGTTCCCTGTTCCCCCAGCTTTAATGCTAGGTCCTCCCTTTAGATCCTTTTGTGAACGTAACAGGTCGATTAGGCCGCTGTATCTGGCAACACTTGGGGTTTTTTGCTGTTGTTGTTGAGCGGGATGGGAAGAAAAAACCCGTCCCCGTCTCGGCCTCGCGGACAGGACGAGGGGCCAGCGGTGTTCCCCTCGGATGCAGGCGAGGGAGGGAGGGGGATCAGCCTAAATTTCGGCCGCCTTCCTGCCCCGTTCTGCTGCCGCGTAGCACCGCAGGCCCGGGGTGCCGGTGACCTTGCCGGGGATCAGGCAGCCAGCTCTGCCCTTGCGGGAGCTTTTCGGGAGCCCCCTCGTAGGGAGAGGGCGGCTGTCCCCAAGCTCTCCTTCCCGGGCAAGCCCGGCAGCATCACGCCGGTGCTGGAGGCGGCCCGCAAGAGGCAAGCCCCTGCCGGCACCGAGCGGGGATCTCCCCTCCTCTGCCCGGGTCTCCGCCGCCAGCGTGCCAAAGTTGAGCCAGGTGATCGATGCGCCGTGTGAGCACCTCGTTACACGATCAGGCGACTGATGCCACTGATGTAATCAAGTTACATAATCACCGTCTTTTTTTTTTTTTTTTTTTTTTTCAAATACATCCATCTTCCTACAGAAAGATCTGCATATCTTCTGCCATCCATTATGCATGAAGCCACCAGCAGCACAGAAGGGTATATATTTTCGCATACACTACAGAACTTTAGCATTGCAGTGCCTTGCACTGTACAACGTCATCACTATCGATTCCCTCAACCTTCCCCCATTCCCTCTATCAGAATTGATTTTGCAGAAAAAGATTAGCAAGGTGCATTGCTTAGATCCCTCTAAATCTCTAAAGGCTGAAGTGCTTCCCCTGTGTTTTTAAAAAGACGGTCTTTTCTCTCCTTTTCCTTTCTCGCTTCACACCACAACTAACAGAGGAATTAATTCACACACAGCCCTCAGCCAGATGAATATATGTATGAAATACCGAAGATAGGATCTCTGTTTGCAAATCTTCAACTCCCATGCACGTGGTCTGAGGTTCCAGCAGGTAAGTTGATGGGTGTAAAAAAAATATCTTATGGGAGCAGGTGGATGAGAGATTTCTAGGCTAGCAACATATATAATATTTTTCTTCTGTCAGAAAGGGATTTTTTTTTTCCTTACCTGTCTCTCAGTATAATTTCCTCACAGGATTTGCAGGAGCAGTTGTAATCCCAAATCACCAGGGGCATTTAACCCCCTTAGCACCAGGACACCATTCCACGATTAATAAGGACTGCCACCTTGAAGTTTAACAACTTGAAAAATGGGATTTGTCTACCTCCATTGCAGCTCTGAAATGCAGCAGAATGCTGCACGGAGTTGAAAACATTTGTTTTAGACGGCGGATGGGATCCGGTCTAATATTTAACAGATTCCATCACGGAGAGCTTCTTTACTATCGCATGCCCTTCTCAGCCAAAATTATTAAGAGGAGAGGGGGGGAGGGGTCAAAGAAAAAGAGAAAGAGGATAAATTAAAGCCTCCTTTCCCGGCACGCTCTCACGGTACTCTCCCAGATACAGAGGGAGCAGAGAAGGGGATATTTTTTTTTTTTCTGATTTCTGATTTATCACAAGAAGCAGCCGCCGGAATACCTTCTGCAGTTATTTCACTCAAGTGCCAGCAGCGGCCGGATCCCCTCGCACCGGGGCAATGCAGCAAGCACCTAAGTGCCCACCTCAATCACCCGCCACCAAGTTTAGCCACTCCGGGACTCCCGCCCGGATAAAATGACCTTACCCGCGGGAGTCTTCCGAAATATCCCTCCGGTGCGATCCGTCCAGCGAGGCGAGCACCGCTCACTACCACCACCACCACCACCGCCGCCACACTGCGCACTCGGCCGGAGGAGCCCCGCGTTCACTCCCGGGGCTGCTGCTGCGCTGGCCGCGAGTGCCGGGGACGTGGCGCCCATCCATCCGCCGCGGCCGCAGGTAATTCCATACGGACTTCGGCGGCGCCCCCCCGGCCCCCCTGAGTCGCCCCTTCCTTCCTAGTTCAGAAAGTGCCCGCGCCGCCGGCGGGAGGTACCATCCAGGTGCGGCGGCGGGGGGGAGAGGGGGCAGGGGGGTGACCGGCCTGGGGGCCCCCCGCGGGCAGCTCCGCGTCCAGCGCCGCCACCGCCGCCGCCGAGGGCCGGATCCGGGCTGCCGGGCACAAGTATCCGGAGAACGGCGGTCCGGAGGGGTTTCCTGGTGCCGTGCCGAGCAGGGGGGGGAGGGTGCTTCCCGGGTCCTAGCACACTCGCCGCCGCGGCAAAAGGGGGGCGGGGGTGATATTGGAGGAAAAAAAAAAAATCTCCAAAGGGAAAGGAAGAAGAAAAAATCGGTTGTCCACTTGCCCCGAATGATGCGAATCCCCAGTGGAAATGACAAGTGATCAGCAAAGAACAGGAGGTCTTGATTGAAAACCACAATCCACCCAAAATATCCTAAGGAGCAAAGGAAGAGAGGGAGAGAGGCGAGAGAAACTGCAATGCATAAATGATTCCAGTGTTTCTACAAGACCGGCTCATTTGATTGAATGCATTCTCCGCTCTGCTGCGAGTCATAAAGAAGATACTGTTACTGCCACCCCATGGATGCTTCGGTACTCGCCGCCAGCGGCTTTGCAAGCATGACTTTGGGAGGCTGATTTTTTTTTTTTTTTTTTTTAATTTATTGAGGGGGGGAGGAGAGGTGGGGGAGGGCCCTTCGCGGGGATCCACCAGAAACTCCCCGGCAGCGGGGATCTCTCCGCCCGGCGCCTCCCGCCGCACCCCCGCAGCGCCGGGGCGCGCTGCGCTTTCCCAGGGACGGGGAGAGCGCCCGGGCAGCGGGGCACGGCTTCGCCTCTGCCCCCTGCCCCTCCCGCTCCCGCTCCCGAAGCCGAGTGTTGTTTCAGAAGAGATGATACATTATCTATTCTTGGATTTTTATAAGGCAAACTGTGGGCCTCGCTGTTGCCATGGGATCTTCTTTGTGCGAACTCTCTGAACTGTGTGGGAACAGTTTTATTTCCTTCCCTTCAGATTCTTCGTTTTTTTTTTTTTTTTTTCGTTTTTTTTTCTTCCCTTCTTCTCTGCTGTAACTCTTCTGAAGATATGCATCAAAATGTAACTGCGTTGTTGCCAATTAAGATTAACAGCAGCTGCAAGGTGCATCTAATTAGGAATGTTAATTACTTCATGAAATAAAGTCATTTGCAGATGTTTATAATACTAAACAAATGTTCTATAAAGTGTAACATACCAGTAGTCCCCCAATAAATTTGGCCAAATTCATGCACAAATATGCAGGGAATTATGTATCCCCTCTTCCATAGCACTAACCTTGCAAATGCACACTCACAGGAAGAGATGCAGAATGCTGCCCTACGTACAGAGAGATGGTTGGGTCTGAGGCATTTCATCTTCTAACAACCTAGCGTGCAGGCTGGAAGGGTGGAGGGGAGGTAGATATCTGAGCAATATGAGCTAAACATGTACTTTTATATGTACACATACATATATATAAAATATGCATAAGTGGTATTCTTCAAAGCTGTGACAAAGTACTAGGTATCATTTGGCTATTACAAAGTCAAACCTGTAGGCATACAGAAGAATCCAAAATACTACGTTTTTTAAAACCCTAACATTTTACAAGACAAGGGAGAAAGAGAAGAAAACCATCATTTGGGAAAGTGAGAATTTATTAAGCCTCATGTTAGAGGATGCAGGATTATTGATAGGCAGATAAAGTGCTGAGCAGAGTCAGAGGGTTGCCAGAGAGGTGGGAGCTGTTGTAGAATAAGTGGAGATCATGCACACCCCCACCTCACCTCTCCTTGTTACAACAGAATGGCATTCTTCATTTTGGATTAAAAAAAAAAAAAAAATGAATGCAAAAAAAAAAAAATGTAGTCAAAATTCTATCTTAAAACACAAATATTAATGTGACTGGTTAAACCAAGCATTTAGATACTACTGTGATGAGTGATCTGCATGTGTGGGTAGGTAAAAGAGACATGAAAAACTTTATGGGATTCTCTTTGTGGATCAGCACAGGGCATTTTAAGTCAGCTAAATGACTCATAGTATATACTTTAAAAAGCTGATTTGTGTGCCTGATTTAGAAACTTAGGCATCCTACCTGGTTAAGAGAGGGGGAAAGAGAGACGTGCTCCCAACTTTGATACTCAATTTTTTCCTTTGGGATTGCTGTTTTGTCACCACAGGTGAGTGATCCCACACTCCCAGCAAAAGCACCTCCATTACATGTGTCTTATTTGCACCCAACAGACCGATGAATGCTCTAGGCTGACTGGCAGAGAGTAGGAAAGACAGGATTGGGGTTGAAACATTGGCCAGGCACTCAGAACGTTTGGGCTTAGTTCCTGATTTTTTGCAGATTTCCATTGACAGGCAAGTCATTTAATCTCTGTGCTTTTGTTCCTCCTGTTTATAATGTGAGTTAACACTGTTCTTATTCACAAGGGTGCAGTGAAGATAAAAAGGTATTACTGTTTGTGAGGTGTTCATATACAGTGGTTGTGGGAGCTATATAAGTTCCCAGAGAGGCTGGTTAAGGGACCAGAAGGACAAAGGGAAGATGAAAATAGTGGAAGCCAAAAGATGTGAACAAAATACAATGTAATTGCTAAAATCACTGAAACCAGACTAATAACACAGAAAACTTGTACACCATTTGTATGTGCAGAATAGACTACTTGCATTGTCGGGTTAAATTCATCCTTAGGCTAGGGAATCATAGAATCACAGAATAATGGTTTGGATTGGAAAGGACCTTAAAGACCATCCAGTTCCACCTCCCTGTCATGGTGGGGGGAAATGGATTCAATTCATGTCTCAGTTACTGAATTACTATGAATAGCAGTGTAGTTGTATGGATGCTTATGAAAAAGATTTTAGGCGCTTTTTTTTTTTTTTTTTTTTTTGGGGGGGGGTGGACAGGTACATACTGTATCTTTATTTGGATTTGTCTGCCCATTAATAAGTATGGGATGTATATAAAGCAGGGAATCTCCTCTGTCTTCATTACAACCTCGTCATTTAACACCTAAGAAGCAAATTCTTACCAGTTTTCTAAACATTATTTTAATTCCATGTTATTCAATATATACTGAAAGAGTTAATGAGTAGCATACCCGCATTATGTGTATGATCTTGAGAATCATGTCTTTTGAACTAAGGAGTCATGCACCATGTCTTCATCTAAATTTTAGCAAGTGATTGAAAGGATTATCACACTTAATGTTTATTATGGAAAGCTAAACAGTTCAATCAAAGTAAACTTCCTTTTCTGAAAGTAATATGCTTAAAATGAAAGTCTGACAGAGTATATGGCTCTGTTGGGTGCTAATATCATGCAGAATGTTTAAGGTTAGTAAATTCAATCTGCTTGAATGAGCAGTACCCAAGAGCTAATACTGTTTCTTAGCTGAATGGTGTCCTTCAGAACTTTCTGACCTCATGCTCACCTTGCTAGAAAGTCTGTCCAGAGAGTCTGAAGACTGGTGGAGCTTGATTTCTCAGAAATTATCTGTGGATTTCAGGGATTAAAAAATATTTCCATCTTTATATTCATTTCCCACTTTTTAACAAATGCAATGAGAAAAAATAAAACAAAATATCAACATTTGCACATTCTGTTGCTTAGTGTGTATGCATAATAGTGATATGACATGATATAAATCTAACATCATGGAAAACAAGAATTGAATTTTTAAATTTTTAGATTAATATATAAAGTAATAAATATTTTTTTCTGAAAGACACCTTCACTGGCCTGCTAAGAACACCAAATACAAACCCTGGTCATGTAAAAATCTACACTGAAGTTTGTAAACTGGTCTCAATCTAATTACTAAAGACTTTCAGTAAAGCAAAAGGGACAGCATATCCTTTTTTTTTTTTTTTCTTTCTTCCTCTTCTCAAAGCACAGTTATAATGATCTTAAAAAAAAAAAAAAAATCATTTTTTTTTCATTTTTTTAATGATTTAGTAGTCCAGATTACTACAGAGTGAGAAAGATTATTATATATTATATATTATATATTACACATTTTAATGAGTCCAAGCAAGAGTGTTCAATAGAGCAGATACTTTTAAGTGACTAGCACACATCATGTGAAAATTTCAAGACTGATTTCTTTTACAGAAAAGCCTGATTCTAAAGAGTACATATCTAATCAGGAAATACTACTCATCTTTTAACTAAGACAAACAAACAAATAATTTTTGTTTATAGTCCTAGTTACTAATTTTTTTCTCTGTCTAAACTGCATATACATTTCTGTAAATATAAGCATGCTGTAGTCACTGCTGAGCTGTTTTCCCAGCTACTATAATTTTACCATGCTTTTCTTGTTGATACCATTTTTGTGTGAGTAATCCAGAACCTTTGTGAAGATCATGTCAGACAGCTCAGGCTATTTGATACACAGCTTTGCTGGGGCACTGCTATCTATATATGCAGCTGAGATAAGCCCTTCCTATGCCTGTTAGGCATCAGTTGTAGGTGGCCTGAACAAAGCACTACGACACCTATAGATTAAAAGTGACATTGCATAAAAGCTAAGTATCTTGTTACTACTTGTGTGGGAGGATACTTTCATTCAGAGACGTTCCTTCAAAACATGAATTTCATTGATTCTTAATGTTTAAAGAAGGTAGAATTAAATATATTTTGTTAAATATATATTGTTCTCTGGATACCACCCTGAGCTGGTGGAAGCGAATGGGGAGCAGAATGTGGCCCTCATAATCCACAAGGAAATGTTTGGCGACCTGCTACAGCACTTGGATGTACGCAAGTCAATGGGGCCGGATGGGATCCACCCAAGGGTACTGAGAGAACTGGCAGAGGAGCTGGCCAAGCCCCTTTCCATCATTTATCGGCAGTCCTGGCTATCAGGGGCTATCCCAGTCAACTGTCTCCTAGAAAACATGATGCCCATCTACAAGAAGGACCAGAGGGTAGACCTGGGGAACTATAGGCCTGTCAGTTTGACCTCAGTGCCAGAGAAGCTCATGGAACAGATTATCTTGAGTGTCATCACACGGCACTTGCTGGGCAACCAGGTGATAAGGCCCAGTTAGCATGGGTTTATGAAAAGCAGGTCCTGCTTGATGAACCTGATCTCCTTCTATGATAAAGTGACATGCTTAATGGATGAAGATAAGGCTGTGGATATGGTCTACCATGACTTCAGTAAGGCCTTTGATACCATTCCCCACAGAATTCTCCTCAAGAAACCAGCTGCTTATGGCTTGGACTGGCATACGCTTCATTGGGTTAAAAACTGGCTGGATAGCCAGGCCAAAAGAATTGTGATAAATGGAGTCAATTCCAGCTGGAGGCCGGTCACTAGTGGTGTCCCCCAGGGCTCAGTACTGGGGCCCGTCCTCTTTAATATCTTTATCGATGATCTGGATGAGGGGATCAAGTGCACCCTCAGTAAGTTCGCAGATGACATCAAGTTAGGGGAGTGTGTCAATCTGCTCGAGGGTAGGAAGGCTTTGCAGGAGGATCTGGATAGGCTGGACCAATGGGCTGAGGTCAACTGTATGAAGTTCATCAAGGCCAAGTGCTGGGTCCTGCACCTGGGGCATAACAACCCCAAGCAGAGCTACAGGCTGGGAGATGAGTGATTGGAAAGCTGCCTGGGAGTATTGATAGTCGAGGTTGATAGCCAACATTGATAGTCGGCTGAATATGAGCCAGCAGTGTGCTCAGGTGGCCAGGACGGCCAACAGCATCCTGGCTTGTATAAGAAGCAGTGTGGCCAGCAGGGCTAGGGAAGTGGTCGTCCCCCTGTACTCGGCTCTGGTGAGGCCACACCTTTTTTGGGTTTTGGGCCCCTCCCTACAAGAAGGACATGGAGGTGCTCAAGAGAATCCAGAGAAGGGCAACGAAGCTGGTGGGGGGTCTGGAGAACAAGTCTTATAAGGACCAGCTGAGGGAGCTGGGTTTGTTCAGCCTGGAGAAAAGGAGGCTCAGGGGAGACCTTATTGCTCTCTATAGGTACATTAAAGGAGGCTGTAGCGAGGTGAGGATTGGTCTATTCTCCCATGTGCCTGGTGACAGGACGAGGGGGAATGGGCTAAAGTTGTGCCAGGGGTGTTTTAGGTTGGATGGGTTGCCCAGGGAAGTGAACCATCCCTGGAGGTCTTTAAAAGACATTTAGATGTAGAGCTTAGTGGAGGACTGGTTAG